TACATTTCTTCTACTTCATTTTACAAGATCATTAAGTGCAGAACAGTGTTGGTTCTCTTCATCTACAGGAATGAGAGCTAGGCATATACCCAGTGGTGGGATTCAGATATGTGCACAGCCGGCTCTCTGTGTCGATGCCGCTTCCGGAAGTCCGTTCTGGGCCTGGGCAACCAAACATTAGCTACCAGTTCTGCCGAAATGGTGCGAACTGACTGAATCCCACCACTGCTCATACCTGCTTTATTTAAGCATGGATTTTAAAAAAGATGACATGGGTTGGACTTCCTGTCCCCTTCTAATAGTCGAGGAAATGAGCTGTCATGCCGGACCTACCTGTTGCAAACAGAAGTAACCACTGGAGGAAACTTACTATTTAGACCATTGGCAAAAGCGTGAACGGCTTTTTAAAAAGTAAATTATAGGTGCATGTTCTGAAGTCCAAATTGAGGCTCTGACACTGGGGATGTTTTAACCCCTTGTGGTCCTGCTGTAGTTGTGCTTGCTCACTAAGGTTTTTACTTGCCGGATATGAAGCAGTTCGATTTTAACGAAAGCACAGATCCAACCCGTGTTCCATTTTATGTGGTTTGCATTCAGCGCAGGCATAAGGACCACCAAATGTTTTAAGAATGAAACGCCAGGATGTTCACAGGAAGCAAGGCAGTTCCTCATTGCCTCCTTTTGGGAAGGACTGTGGGGCTGTCTTCCAGATTTAGAGTTGATAGTTGGTTGAGTTGAGTTTGTGTTTTAGTTCTGGTCTGATGCCACATAATTTTTGTCGCGATTGGGAGTCAATGCAGAGAAACCCCAAACTAAATGCATGTGTGCCTCCACCGATGCTTGATAGGATAGCAGTGAAAGAAGCATGCTGGGGGTCTGTGGCACAGACATGCTTTGAAGCCCTTTGAAGGGATTCAGATTACAGGTGAGGACTCTTAAGATGAAATAACACTCCTTACAGATAATTTTTCAACATCTAGAAAACTACGGTAAGAAGTCTACAGTTACCCCTTCTTGCTAGTATGCTAGTTAACTGCATCCATCAGTCTCTCCATAAAAAGGAAGAAGGGAAAAAAATTAAATTAACCTAAAATGAAAAGCTGGGGCAATCAACATGCATATGCAGCAGGACGTCGGTCTTTCATAAGCCTAAATCTGCAGCATGGTATAAATCTATAGCAACTGCAGCACAGCATGGCTGGTGTAGTTAGTCTGTAAAATCAAAGTCCTTCTCGCCACTGTAAAAATCTAAGTATAGAAGTGAATGTCAATAGCTCTTTGTGTTAAATAATACTGCATTACCTTTCCTGCTGCTAATATCTTTCGCGCAGAGTCTTTACAGGTGAGTCGGTTTTATAGATTAGTTTTTGTGGCGCAGCAGCTTTTGAAATAGCTAAGAGCACAACATAGTGTACCAGCAAAGAAGTGGGAAGGAGGAGGGGGGAAAACTCTTAGCATAATGTTTGATATACTTAGATCTCCACATTATAGAGGCTCAGTAAGAGCCTTATTAATGGTTTTTTTTATTATTATTATTTATACCTCTAGCTGTGGAATTCTAAGAGTAAATTTTCTGGGAAATTGCATTTTCAGAGGGCAATCTTCACGAGAACATATGTTCTGTGCATTCCAGTTCCTTTGTACACATTGTGAGCACTTACATCTCATAGCATAATGCTTCCTCTAGTGCAGGGGTCCCCAACCTCGGCCACTTTATGACTTGTGGACTTCAACTCCCAGCATGGTTGGCTGAGGAATTCTGGGAGTTGAAGTTCACAAGTCATAAAGTGGCCGAGGTTGGGGACCCCTGCACTAGTGCACGGGTGTCAAACTCAATCATGTCCCATGACATATCGTGACATTTTTGGCCTTTGCGGAGCTGCGGTGGGCATGGCCTGCGCATGACGCATCCAGCCTGCAGGCCGCCAGTTTGACACCCCTGCTCTAGAGTGCTCGGCCATCGTGCATTTACAGGTGGTCCTTGTTTAACGATCATTAGTTTAGCAAAAGTTGGAAGTGATGATCGTGCTGAAATAGCGACCGGTGATTGGTTCCCGTGACTGATCCTTGAAGCCACATGATTGCAATTCATGTGCTTGGCAACGGTCACACCTTCATGAGGGTTGCAGCGTCCCACAGTCCTACGATCACCATTAGCAACTGTCTCAGCTGGCCTCCGACAACAAAGTCAATGGGGAAGCTTGGAGGAAGTCGCAAGTCATGGTCATGTGATATCTTGCTTAACAGCTGTGAGTGATTCCCTTAATGATCACAACTGGAACTGCATATCACATGATGTTTCATTTAGCAACTGCTTTGCTTAGCCGTAGAGTTGCTGGTCCCAATTAGGGTTGTTAATTGAGGACTGCTTTATTTTTTTTATTTATGATTGCATTTATATATGCCTTTTAACTTGAGAGGCCAAGGCAGGATGTATGGGAGAAGTCTCTCCCCTTCAAGGTAAGTTGGGCTGAGAGAGCAGCTGAACCAGAGTTACCCCAATAAGCTCTGTAGACAGCTGGGGACTTGAACCTGCGTCTCCCTACTCCACAATCTATAATTGATTCATCAGAAAATTGCAGGAGTTGGTCTGTGTGTAAAAGCTTGTGCTTGTTTCCCGTCTGTATGATTCCTGGAAACCATAATTAACAAGAGGTCTTCAGCAACCTTGAGGTAAAACATATTTCACGAGAGAGACGTTGGATTCTAAGTCTTATGACGACTTTTAAATTGTGTTCATTGAACTATTACTTAGAAAGTTATTGGACCCCATCTAAAAGATGCTGAAAAACTAGTGGAGTGTAAGGTTCTTTGCTAGCACCTTGGCTAAGTCATTGAAGCAATTTGCAAAGCTAAATATTTATGTCAATGCATCTTTCAGCCTTCTGAGCTTTCAAGTTATGGACGGTTAGGGATTAATTTAGAGTCAGGATGAGTTCTTACCTTGCTTTCTAAAATCATAAGCTCTTGCTTGAGAGTCATAACTAAGGTTTAAAAAAGGTGAAAAGATGAAAGTAAAGGTTTTCCTTGGTCCAGGCGTATCCAACTGTAGGGTGCAATGCTCATCTTTGTTACTTAGCCGAGGGAGTCAGCATGGCTGGCTGTGGACTTCTGGGAGTTGAAGTCCACAGGTCTTACAGTTGCCAAGGTTGGGGAACCTTGGACCAAGGGTTCATTATTGCCCTGATCTCTTCAGGACAAGCCTTTTCATCTTCTATCTTCTTCATAACCGCTCTGTACTATTCGATTCTAAAATTCAGACACAGACTTTGTCGCTTTTTAGTTTCTGGTGAATTACACCAACTGACATCCTCCAGCCAATGCAGCCAATAGTTAGAGGTGCTGGGATCAACAGGAGCACATGTATGTCCACACAAACACATGCACACACACACACACACACACACATACTTAAAAACTTCCAGTGTAGAAGCAGTAAATGCTCCAACACTGGAAGTTTTTAAGAAGAGACTGGACAGCCATTTGTCCGAAATGGTGTAGGGTTTCCTGCCTCAGCAGGGGGTTGGACTAGATGACCTCCAAGGTCCCTTCCAACTTTACTACTATTACTATTACTATTTGAAAAACAGGGGATGCACACAAAGCATTAGTCCAGATTGTTCCGGTTGGATAACTCCACGAAGGTGCAGTTTAAATGAAGATGGTAAGGTCGCTGTGATCGATTAGTATTTTATCTTCTTACCAAACCCCTGCTCCTCCTCGTTCACATGTCAAGAAAGGGGACCTTCTTGTTTTCTTGTCTTCCAGAACTGAACCAAATAGTTGAATTTCCCTAGATCGGGCTAATTAATGGCCATGCTCAGTGAGTTGATGGAAACTGTAGTCGGAAACATTGGAAAGATTTGAAATTGAGAAAGGTTGGCTGAGATCTCCTTTTGTGGTTTCCACAGCAGGAACATATTTCTACTTCTCTGCCACCCCTGCATCCAGTGGTGATCCATCTAGAATTATGCAAGGATTATTAATCTGGCTCCTGCTGCAGCTAATGGGCTGAAGTGCTTAATAGCTCACTGTGACAGGGATGAGTGTCCCTCCCTGAACACATAATGAAGCCTGTTATAGGCCCCGTCCCTGAATGAGGCAAGATTAATATTTATGACTTTTTCATGCCTTTTAGGGACAAGCCTGCTTCATTCATATCCTGGCTGATTTTTGAAAGCCACCTAACCTATTTAAAATTACATTCTTTGTGGCTTGTGTGTTATCTTGCCTTCTGCTTTATAACATGTGTTCTTCTTTTTTGGAAAAAAAAAGAGAGAGAAAGAAATCATTACAGCAAAGCCAAAAGGAAAACATGGGCCTTTGATGGTAACTGATGAGGTTGGAGGATATTCAACACCAAACAAAAAGCATTCTTAAATTGCCCTTGATTTGATTTTGTGGCTAGAATAGAGGGCCATTTCCTGAACCGACTTGTCAAATGGGTGCAATTGAGATGCATCCACTTGATTTGTGGAAACAATGATGCTGAAGCTTCACAGTGGCAGGAAATTTTTCTGTGCCAGATAAATATCCACACTGTGGGTTTCCCGTGGATCTTTCATTTATCTTGAGAAGCAATACACTACAGAGTTTCAACAAAGCTCTGGATCCTGCTGGAAACACATTGTTTAAAACCCCTGATTGGTATCCATGTTTCCTGTAAATCATCTTGAGCCAACTAGTATCTCAACTAGATCGTTTTATGCATAAGAGTGAAGGGCATATATTATTCCTAGTGTTCTGAGATCCTAGGGGAAAGAATAAATGGAAAAGCTTATTTCTCTATAGTAAAAAAAAATAAATAGCATCCAGCTTTTGTTAAACCCCCCCCCCCCCAAAAAAAAAGTTCTCAGAAAAGAATCAGCCTAAATACTATACAGCTTTGCTGGCTGAGGAATTCTGGGAGTTGAAGTCTACAGGTCTTAAAGTTGCAAGGTTGAGGACCCCTGCTATAGAACATTGAGAATATCAAAATCATTTTTTAAAAATCCCCACAGATTCAGCGGTGTCTTTCCCAGTCTCAATATGGCAGTAAAACGTCGTGAACAAGTTCTGCAAGATTACAAACGGCTCCAATCCAAGGTGGAGAAGTATGAAGAAAAGGAGAAAACGGGACCCATCCTGACCAAGTTGCACCAGGTGTTAAAGAGCATTCACAGAGTTTTGTGTGTGGGGGGGGGAATATCAGAGGGTTTTAGGGTGCAAGGAAACATTTGGATGCTGGTTCTAGAATTGAAGATGTGCAGATGAAGGTGTTTGTCAGAAGAGAGCATAAACAGATGTGATCCCATATCACCAGTAACACTCTGGGAGTTTCCGTGAGGAGTAGACTGAATGTCAAAATGTCTGTGGTCAGTCATTCATGTCACAGTCGTCCCAGAGGTGCTCAAAAACAACAACTGGACTTTCTTGATTTGACGTTTCAGTTCTCATTTAAGAAGCTTCTTCAGTAGACTGAAAATTGACTACATTTGGAGGTTTTTAAGACAAGATTGGCCAACCATTTGTCTGAAATGATATAGGGTCTGCTACTTGAGCAGGGGGTTGGACTAGAAGATCTCCAAGGTTCCTTCCAACTCTGTTATTCTGTTACCTTATTGATGTTACTTCTCTGGGAGGTTTGCAAATTTCTCCAGTATTAGCAAGAAAGGGATGCATCCCTTCCATAAAAGTATATTGTCAACATAAAGAAATAGTACAGGAATGAAGTTTTGTGTTGAGAACTTAATGAGCTGGATAGCGTTCTGGAACTGAAATTAAGTTCAGGAGCTCAAGGTTTTGCTCTTAGAAGTCATCAGGCTTCCAGGAAAAAGAAGATCAGTTCAAAACCAGAGTGAATTCCATACACCTGAAATCCTTTCTTCCTGAATTCTAATTATCTTTCAGTATCTTTAGATATTTAATTCTGGGGTAGAGAACCTGGGCATGAATTCAGTGAACATGCCACAAAGTTCTACCATAATTTAATCAGAACAGCTTAAAAAGTCAGAATAGATGACCTCCCATAACTCTTCAAAGGCTGGCAGTAGGGAACCATGTAGACACCAGGAGGGAATTCCATTGAAGAGATGTCCACCATGGAGATGGCATATCTCTTACGTCCATCGACAGGTTTGAAACCTTCTTCAGAATGTAGATGAAAATCAGAGAACTCTTCTCATCTGCCCATTAGTCACACTGCGCTTAGAATAGAATAGAGTTGGAAGGGACCTTGGAGATCTTCTAGTCCAGCCCCCTGCTCGAGCAGGAGAACCTATACTACTTCAGACAAATGTCTAGTCTACTTCCTTTCCTCAGTAGTTCAGAATTGGTACTAAACCCCGTGAGAGGCAAAATTAAAGTCCTTCAAAGGTCTGCTAGCTGGGAATACCTTACCTGTTGGACAACAACACAGAGATGGCTGCTTTGCGCCTCTAAGAGTCATTCCAGTCTATAGATGGCGATCAATCGATGCCCAATGCAGGAGCAACTTATCCAGGAGGACAACTTTTCAAGGGGAGATGAAGGACAACATTCTGAGATCTTCTTCTCCTCTTCACGTCTTCTTTTCGGTTCTTCCAGGCCCGAGAAGAACTGAGGCCAGTGAAAGATGACTTTGAGGCCAAGAACAAGCAACTTCTGGAAGAGATGCCCAAGTTTTACAGCAGCCGCATCGATTATTTCAAGCCAAGTTTTGAATCTTTGATCCGAGCGCAGGTAAGGTGGAATGCTGTCATCTGTTTCCCCATCTGTTGCTTTCGTTTTCCTAACTGTACCCTAAAAACTATTCAGCGGTTTTTATTTTATTTTATTTTTCTACAGGTAATCCTCAAACAATTTGGTGATCGTTCAAAGTTGCAACAGCACTGAAAAAAATGACTTATGACTATTTTTCACACTTATGACCATTGCAGCACCCCCCTCCCCGTGATCAAAATTCAGACGCTTGGTAACTGACTAATAGTTAAGCCACCAGATCCCCTAACCCAGAGGTAGGCAACCGTGGCTCTTTTATGACTTGTGGACTTCAACTCCCAGAATTCCTGAGCCAGCCAGGCTGAGGGGAAAGGGAAAGGTTTCCAAGCTGAGCCATGCTGGCTCAGGAATTCTGGGAGTTGAAGTCCACGAGTCATAAAAGAGCCAAGGCTGCCTATCCCTGGTATATACCAATCTCTGAATGGGACCAGCAGCCGTCTAGTTAATTAATGGAAGGAAGGGTCTAGAAGAGAGTCAGGGGTATTTGGGTAAAAAGAGCTTAAAAACTGGGGGTGCCTGGAAGTGGGCAGATCAATCTGCCTGAGAGAGACTAGCAGGTGATGGATTCCCTACTATCAAGAGATGCAATACAGGTAGTCCTTGACTTACAACCTCAACTGAGGTCCAAATTTCTATTGCCAAGCAAGACAGTTGCTAAGTGAATTTTGGCCCCACTTTACAACCTTTCTTGCCACCGTTGTTAAGTGAATCGCTCCAGTTGTCAAGTTAGTCCCACGAGTATTAAGTAAGAGCCCAGGTGGCGCAGCAGTTAGAGTGCAGTACTGCAGGCCACTTTAGCTGACTGTGTTCAGCAGGTCAGCGGTTCAAATCTCACCGGCTCAAGGTTGACTCAGCCTTCCATCCTTCCGGGGTAGGTAAAATGAGGACCCAGATTGTTGGGGGCAATGGAAATATATATATACATTGCTTACTGGTGTACACTGCTTAGAGAGCGCTTGCACTCAAAAGCGGTATATAAGTCTCATAAATAAATAAATAAATAAACCTGGCTTCCCCATTGATTTTCCCTGTCAGAAGGTCACCAAAAGAGATCATACGATCCCTATACGACCCCTGTATGGCTCTGCCATCGTCATCAATACGAGTCAGTTGCCCTGCGTCTGAATTTAGATCACGTGGCCAGGGGGAAATGCTGCAACAGTTGTAGGTGCGAAAAAGGCTCACAACCTTTTTTCAGTGCCGTTACAACTGCAAACAGTCAGAATCGTTGTACGTCAAAGACTTCTTGGACAAAATGAAAGCTGAGGTGTAGATCAAGGATACACCTAGCTGGAAATATGGACTCACGGAATTGTAGGGCTGGATTGGTTGAAGCCAGTGGTGGCGAGTCTATGGCACGTGTGCCAGAAGCGGCACTCAGAGCCTTCTTAGTGGGCACGCGTGCCATTGCCCCAGCTCCGCCTCCCCCCATGGCCCCCTCCTCACCAGCAGCCCCCCTGGAGGAGAGTTGACCCCGGGCGCAGTCCACACGGAGCAGCGCGGCCAAGGACATGACAGCCGGGCAGCAGGGACGGAACTCTGCCCTCGTGCCCCATTGCGCGCAGATGATGCTGCAGGGCACAGGCGGAGGGCGTGGCCGCCATGGTGCAGCAGGGCCACCTGGGCAATCTGTGGTGGGCCGTGGAGGTGGTGGGTGGCCCTGCGGGCGGGTGGGGCAGGGGTGGGTGGGATGTGGAGCGGGTTTGGGGCACTCGGTCTCTAAAAGGTTCACCATGACTGGTCTAAGCTTAGTTGGGCAGTGGTGTGCTACCATATTGAATGTGTGAAAAATTCAAAGGAGGCTGTGATACACAAACTCTTGCTATCAAGCCGGAGAGGATTTCTCTTTGAACCTAGAGTTTAGTGGGGCTCTTTTGCTGAAGTAAGTGGCAGCTCCAAAGGCTCATTTCTGTCTTGGATAAATTTCTGTTCTGGATCAATTCGCAAAACTGGAGGACGAAGCAGACTGTCAAGAGGAAATTAGGTGAGCCAAGATTTAGCCTTTCTTCAGCAAAGAGAGGCACAACTGACGTTCCAAATTACCGAACTACCATTCCCATGAGTTCCAGACAGCGTGGCCAGCAATCAGGGTTTATGGTCACGGGAAGTCATAAAACTCAAGCTGACCCCACCCAAATAGCTTTAACACAGCGTTTAGAAACAGAAGCACAATTCCTTGGGGGGGGGGGGAATTTAGCTTAAATGAAAGAAGTGGGTGTAATCCTGCCTTCCTTGCCTGCAGCCGGAAGCCCCCCCGGATCAGATCCTTCCAAAGGCTTTGAGATCAGAGCAAGGAGAAGGTCAGGTCCAAACGCGAAGGCCTCAGGACCGCCCCCACTCCGCATTCTTTTTCCGGGTCTCTTTTTTCAAGCCTCATTAAGTTTAGATTTTGTTCTGCACGGGATTGTGTTACAGAGCGGGAATCTCTACATCTGCCGTCTTCCTCTTCGCTATTTCTGAGAGGCGAAAATGGTTCTGCAGCCCACGTGGGAAGGGGGGGCCTGCCTTGGCTTCCTGGATAAAATTTAAGGGCCTCTATGCCCTTCCTGATCAATGGAATCAGCTCCCTGGGGTTGCCTGTCTCTTGGATTGGAGCTCTGGGTGATAATCCAATCCGGAGGTGCCTAGAGGAGAACCACTTAATAGGAAAATGTCCGTGGAGATTCTCAGTCATCCAGGCCATGGTTGCCCCAAAGATGCTTTCTTTCAAAAGTCACCTGGACTTTTTGGTTTTGCTAGAAAACGTTTCACTTCTCATCCCAGGAGCTTCTTCGGTTCTGACTGAATGGTGGGGAACGGAAGGATTTATGTGTATGGAATTTATGGAGAGGGGACTGCAAGGAATATAATATAATCTTCTGACTGAATTCTCCACTATCCAGTCAGAACTGAAGAAGGTTCAAGGAGTAACAAAGGCAGTCCAGGTGCCTTTTGAAAAAACACCTTCGGGACTTAGGAATAGGTATTTGGCCAAAGGTGTTTTCTTTGCAATAAGACACATCTCTTTGGGGAGGCTTTGAAATTATTCTAATGATTGCACAATTAGTGCGTCTAATTGTTCCTTTTGTATGCTGTCAGCTACCTTAAGTGTTCCACAGATAGAAAGACAGGGTATAAATTGAGGGGGGGGGGGAAGCACTGGGGAGAATTTCCATGAACAGATAAGATACTTCAGAAGAGATTTAAGTATGGGGTGCCTGGTTTATATTTTACCGCTGAGGTCTTTCTTTCCTCCCAACTAGCAAGGAAGGATATTCTCTAGATCAGTGGTTCTCAACCTGTGGGTCGGGACCCCATTTGGGGTTGAACGACCATTTCACGGGGGTCGCCAAACAACGTAGTCCGCCATTTTTTTCCCCTTTTCCTTAGCTGTGCTGCTCCCTTTTATTCTATTGGCTTTTGAAAGCCAATAGAATAGACTCTCTTGAATAAAGTCTAATTCTATTGGCTTTCAAAAGCCAATAGGAATTGTCCAGGCTGTCTCTGCCCTGCTGAGCCCGCCAAAAGTCCCATTCTGCAAACGGTGCTGCACCAGTTGAGTAGTCCTCGACTTACGACCGGTTGAGTAGTCCTCGACTTACGACTGGTTGGGGGTCGCGGCGTTAAAAAGGTTGAGAACCACTGCTCTAGAAATACCCTTCCAGATTCCCTTTTCTCTTTTGGCTAAAAGAAAACTAATTTGTAAAAAGTAGAGATAGAATATGCAACCACCTGTCTGCATGGTATATTTCAGTTTAGCCGGGGGCCCTTCTAGATGAGGAGTGCCCAACCTTGGCGACTTTAATACCTGTGCGCTTCGATTCCCAGAATTCCCCAGCCAGCCATGCTGAGGAATTGAAGTCCACAGGCATTAAAGTGGCCAAGGTTGGACATCCCTGTTCTAGGTGGATTTGGAGTTCCCTTCCAACATTATTTCAACTTTGAAGGTCCTTATTACTATAATCGATTACTCGATTATTGACTTAGGTCCTAGGCCAGGGGTGTCAAACTCAATTTCATTGAGGGCTGCATCAGCATTGTGGTTGCCCTCGGGGGGGTGTGGCAGGGTGGGTGTGGCCTACTGGTGGGCGTGGATGGAGTGAGTGTGGCCTACTGGGTGGGCGTGGCCAGCTCTACATCGTTCGCATCAAGGGTGCCTGTGGGGGCCTGGGCAGGAGTGGGACAGATCTGGGGGTGTCTGGCAGAAGGGGGGGGGACCGGGGCAAGCGCCAAGGCATGATGCATTTCTTCATTCCTCACAAAGGGTGACACCTCCCCAGCATGCACCCAGGGGGCGGGGCCGACGCGGCAGGGGCTGGTTCCTCGCTGTTTCCAGACGGCCTTGTGGAGCTAAGACTGAATGTGTTTCAGCATAGATGGCCACCACAAAATTGTACATTGGCCCCCGGCCAGCCAGGGCCAAGGCAGCAGGGGCCGTTCCCTCACTGTTTCCAGGATGGCTTTGCAGGCCACATGAAACCACTTTGTGGGCCGCATTTGGCCCCCGGGCCTTGTGTTTGACATGTCTGTCCTAGGAGATGCATCGGTTTTTTTTTTTAGCTCCCGCCCCCAAATCCCTCTTGGCCTCTCCATTAAAGGCTTCAAGCCCTTATAAAATATGCTACAACTCTTATGTTCCTCAGGGTTTCCCCACCTGTTGGAATCTCTCCTAGGCCACCCCAGGAGTTTCCTGGTTTTCATTTATTTGCAATTAAATGTGAACAAGAAGGGAATTGTGGTCACTTAACCAAGCTTCCCAAAACGTTTCTTCATCAGTAATCTTCATATTTTTTTTTTCAAATGCAGTTGCATTTAACACGATTGCACAACGTTTAATTTATTACGTACGCTTCTTCAAGATTCAGGCCTTGGCAGCTGTGGGAAAAATCAGTAAGAACTCTAAAAAGCAAACATCAATCCAGCCAGGAATAAAAAAATAATTTAGGTAGTTAGTGGCTGCTACACAGCAATTTAGTCAGCAAGAAAACATAGCGTAACTTCTTTATTTCTCAGGATTTCTGTGGTTTGTTTAGTAGTAAGGATAAACCCTGTTCCATGAGTTAGTATCACCATAGAAGGTGGCCTTAGAGTAAGTAAGTCAGAGCATTAGTTCATGTAGGGCTATCCTTCATGGGCTACCTTTACCTTGTTTTTTTTCAGATGAAAATCTCTCTAGCGCCACGTTCAAACCCATAAAAGACAGGTGTTCTATCACTGACCTGCAGAGTTGCCTTTACAGATACCAATCTTCATGGTTTCAAAACAGGAGAGGTCATTTCATTTGGAATTTGGACATCTCCTTACATCTTTGGTTCATAAACCTCGGCTCTATCTGGACCTATGGTCTACATCAGGGGTCCCCAACACCTGGGCTGAGGCCCACTACAGTTCCATGCCTATTCAGAACTGGGCCGCGCACACGCAGCCTCCCTGCTCGTGAAACTCGCTTCCCCTCTCCCCACCACATACAACCAGGCCACCAAACCACAACGGTTGGGGACTGCTGGTCTACGTATCTTGCAAGGGAATAAGCCAGGCTAAATGTCTCTGCCAAGTGAAAGATTTTCTTGGCCGCTACAGCCTTGTCCCCAATCTTGGCAACTTTAAGATTGGTGGACTTCAATTCCCAGAATGACCAGCTAGTTTGGTATAGTGTTTAATCTACCAGATTATAAACTGGGAGGCCATAAATTCTATTTCATGCCTTAGGTCTGAAGCTATCTGGGTGACCTTGAGCCAGTCCCTCTCTCTCAGCCCTGAGAAGCAGGCAATGGCAAGCCACTTTGAAACTAAGCTAAGAAAACTGCAGTTATTAGTTCAGCAGTCAACACTGACCCAAAGGCACAAGATAAAGACAGCTCCCTAGCACTGGCAATACCTTAGTCTTAAGTGAGTGTTGTG